CCAAATTTTTAAATACTTCAACACAACTGTTTTTGCACAACGCGTACTGTCAATATTTTTGACATCATTTTATTTCAAATTTAATAGAATTTTCACCAGCTTCTACCTCTTTTTAAACTGCTTATATTTCTTTCTTTTAACATTTGTATATAAGATATAAAAATTCTCTTCTGATTTTTATATTTTTATATTGTAGATGAACAATCGTAAGCGCCAATACTTTTATTGTTAGTTTCCCACAGTTTCTCTTTCTCTTTTTGGCTTTGTCTGTTTTTTTTTTTTTTTTATTTCAAATTCACATTCTACTTAAAAATACGACGCATGAATATATTCGACAAAGAAATGGCTTAACTAATTTATGCCGTGTTAATATAAATTGAGGTACATCCCCTTTATGCATATGTATTTTATATTCGACGTAGACTGATCTGATTTTACGGATTTTGATTTACGAGATTGGGATCGAGGGAAGGTGTTAACAGTAAGCGATGTTACGTACAGCTCACATACGGTTTGTAACGTATGCAGATACACGTGTGACAGCATGCATACGATTTTCCAAACGATAGAAGCGATGCAAGTGGAAACGGATCCTATCTGTCCAGCTAATAATCCATGTATACAGAATCATTGTCTTCATCTATATATATTTTTGATCAATTTACGATTTAATTTTTCCTTTACTACAATTAGCAATTTCGAAAATGACCATGTTATTATAAATAATTTCAATTTATTATTGGTTAGGTTTTTATACTAAATGAAAAGAAACGGTTTTGCTATAGTGTTTAAAAATTTAGCCAAATCTGGAAATAATTTTGTTGAGTCATCAAAGTTATTAAATATAACGATAATATTGCAGAATGTTTAATATTCTAGTAACCAAAATCCTATATAAATATTTTGGTTGCCAACAAAATTATTTTCAAATTTGTATCCAATATCTAATCAAATTTCTAGATTTCTTAGCAAAATATTCTTTCCGTGTATGTATCATTTTATTTCCATGAAAATTAGATATCAAAATTCGAAACATTATTTTAAAGTCATTTAGAATATTTTAAAATAAATTTTAAAATTAATTTAAAATATTCTCAAATTAGTTTAAAATATTCTAAAAGTTTAGAATAAAAAACTTAAGACTAAAATTTGAAACATTATTCTAAACTCTTTTAAAATAATAATAAATATTTTAAAATTCTAATTAGTTGAAAACTTAAGATCAAAATTTGAAATAATATATTCTAAATTAATTTTAAAATATTCTAAAATTAGTTTAGAATAAAAAAATTTCAGATCAAAATTTGAAACATTAGTCTAAAATAATTTTAAAATATACATTATAATAAAAGAAGTAATATCGATTTTCAACGACATTTCTTTTCACATCAACAAATTAATGATAAATTAAAAAGAAAAGGATATTAATACTTTCAAAAAATTTTTGCTTAATTTAATTAAACTTATTATATCAATCCCCTTTCATCACATTATCTTGATACACATTCCTTACAACACGAATCTTCTCGAAATCTAACACGTGCATCACACGCATTCGACACGTGTGCGATTCGCGAATCGTCTTTGACGGCGATGATGTTGACGGTCGCCCGAAGGTGATGGAGGTGACGACGGCGGCGGCGGTAGTGGTGGTGGTGGTGGTGGTGATGGTGGTGATGCGTCGTCCATGTGTATCAACCCCATTCACGCGGGGATTAGCCTTTGAGATCGCTGACTGCTGAAATGTTCACAGATCGGTTTACCGTTTAGCAGGATAGAGAGTGTGAGCCTCGTGATCCGTGGCCCGTGTGAGCACCGCGTGTCGCCCTACGCACACGCGGAGACACGAAGGTACCAAGTAGCGCACGCGTGTAGTACAAAC